AAATTGATGTGGGTACTCAAATGAAAGGTCTCGATGAGTGTAACGTCGGGGTGAGCTTATATCTTAAAAAATGTCAATAGTTCTCAGAAAACGAAGTAATTTCTTAATTATTGACATTTTTCAAGATATAAACTCATTTCGATGTTACACTCATCGAGACCTTTGATTTAAGTACCCACATGACATTTTTCATATATTTTATATATATGGTATTTGTGAAATATATAAATATATAAAATATATGAAAAATTGATGTGGGTACTCAAATGAAAGGTCTCGATGAGTGTAACATCGGAATGAGCTAATATCTTCAAAGATGGCAATAGTTGTCAAGATACAAGGTCATTTCTTAATTATGTATCTAAAGATAGAGCATTTTTGAATGCAGCCTAAATACTTATCATAATAAATTGACTAATATAGATAATTAATTTTACAGATTTATTCTACTGAGAAGATTCTTCGCTTTGTCGGGGACAGTGTTCCTGCTAAGATGCGTGACAATGCTGATAACATCTCTAAGTGTTCCTGGAGCACATTTACAGTGCCAGCCAAGACCGACTCCCGACGACCCTTGGGCGAAAACCGCCTACGGGGAGCTGTACAATAAAATTTCTATGGCGTATGTCATTTGGCGAGGGGCTGGGATGTCTATTCAGGGAGTTAGAACGTGCGGGGATTATATGTTCAGCGGACACACAGTCGCGCTGACGATGCTTAACTTTTTTATTACTGAATGTAAGTTGCTTCTGTTTATCAGTTTGATTTTTATCGATCCTCGGGTGTCAAGGCTTTGATTACTTAATTCACTCGAGGCTAATTTATTTGTTGCGTCACATGTAAATATTTATGCTTTGTTAGAGTTAGATGTTGTTGAGTAGAAAAGTTTTTAATTTATGGAATTTTTTTTTTTTTATAAATACTTTATTTTAATTGAATGAAAAAAAATACCAAAAAATTATAAGAAGTTTAATTTGTAGAAAATTTAATTTCCTGTAAAAAAGGCATTTATCAAATTTTTTTAATTTCTGTTTATTTTAATCTGAATTTGATATTAAAAGCTAAAAAACAATACTAGGAGCTAAAATTAAAATAGAGAAAATTGGGTCTAAATTTTTTATTAAATTTTGAAGATACAAAAAAATTATAAGAAACCTTTTTTTTAGAAAATTAAATTTCCTAGGAAAAAGGTCCTCTTTAATTTTTCCATTATTTCTCTTATTTTAACCAGAAATTTAATATAAAATGTCAAAAACAATTTTCTGGAGCTAGAATTAAAATATAGAAAGTTTGATATCAAAATTTTAAATTAAATTTTGAAAAAACAAAAAAATCACAAGAAACTATTTTTTTTAGAAAATTTAATTTCCTATAAAAAAGGTCCTCTTCAATTTTCCCATATTTTTTATATTTTAATCAGAAATTGATAACAAAATTTTTGATTAAATTTTGAAGATAAAAAAAAATTACACACTGATAAAAAAATTAACTTAATTCAAGAAAAAAAATCTTGAACTAAGTATACCATTTTGAAGAAAATGATTTTCTTGGTCAAGAAAAAAAATTCTTGAGACAAGAAAAATGTACCTTAATTAAGAATAACTTTTTGACTCAAGAATTTTTCTTCTTTATGCAAGAAACTTATTTTATTTGAAATTGTATTCTTGGGTCAAGATTTTTTCTCTTGAGTCAAGTTATTTTTTTTTATCAATGTAGGAAACATTTTTTGTAAAAAATTGAATTTTCTACAAAAAAATTCCTTTTTAATTTTCTTGTATTTTTTATATTTAAACCAAAAATTAATCTCAAAAATCAAAATCAATTTTTTGGAGCCAAAATTAAAATATAGAAAATTTAAATTCAAAATTTTTGATTAAATTTTTAAAAAATAAAAAAATGACAAATTTTTTTTATAAAAAAATTTTCATTAAAAATCAAAATTTTTGCAGATACGCCTCGCCAATTCTACTTTTTGCACACATTCACGTGGATGCTGAACATGTTTGGTATATTCTTCATCCTAGCAGCCCACGAGCACTATTCAATAGACGTGTTCGTAGCATTCTACATAACTTCTCGGCTGTTCCTGTACTACCACACGCTAGCGAACAACCAAGCTTTGATGCAGCGCGACTCGATAAGAACCAGAGTGTGGTTCCCTCTGTTCAGCTTCTTCGAGTCCTCCGTCGACGGAATCGTTCCCAACGAGTACGAGTCGCCCTCGAAGATAATCTGCAACCTCGCGTGCACGTGTCGCGACATCGCCAACGCGCTCAGACAGAAAATAAGTATTTCTAATCTCCAACGCACTGTCAACGACAGCACAAAAAAGGGTCTTTGATATTGACACTGTGTCTGTTTTAATCATTATAAATTTTAGATGTATCTAGGTAATTGTAATTGTTAACGATCTCTAGGTGAAATTGTAATTATCTTTGCTATTTTTATAAGTAACTATTAATAATAATACAATATAATATACTGAATGATTAAATAATTAATTTAATTTTCTAAGAGACTGCATTAAAACGTGACTGATGTTTGATAAATTCTTCGTAATGCAAGTGCTCGAAAATTTTATTTAAATCAATAAATCTATATTTAAAATTAATTGATCTATATTATTAAGAGAATAAGAATAATTTTATGGCCAGTGATTTTATATGATAAAATGGGTTTTTATGGTTACACTTGGTATCATTAGAAAGGTCTTGACTTGGAGTTGTGCCATTTCAAGGTTTCATATCATTCTTACCAATAGTCAATTTATAATGATAAGTATTTAGGCTGTATTTAAAAATTCTCTATCTCTAGATACATAATTGAAAAATGACATTGTATTTTGTGAACTATTGACATTTTTAAAAATATAAGCTCATCCTGATGATATACTCATCAAGATCTTTCATTTGAGTACCCACATCAATTTTTCATATATTTTATATATATATTTATATATTTCACAAATACTATATATATAAAATATATGAAAAATCCCATGTGGGTACTTAAATGAAAGGTCTTGATAAGTGTAACATTGAAATGAGTCGATATCTTGAAAAATGTTAATAATTAAGAAATTACATTGTATCTTGTGAACTATTGCCATTTTTAAAGATATAAGCTCATCCCGATGTTATCCTAATTAAGACCTTTCGTTTGAGTACCCACATCAATTTTTCATATATTTTATATATTTAT